CCCTCCTTCCCTCCCTCCCTTCCTCCCCTCCATCCCTTCCTCCTTCCTTCCTCCCCTCCATCCCTTCCTTCCTTCCCTCCCCTCCATCCCTTCCTTCCTTCCCTTCCTTCCTTCCATTCCTTCCTTCCATTGGCCTCGCTCCAGTACTCATCAAATGTGCAAATGAGAACGAATCTTCCGCTAGAAAATGCGAAGATACACCGCCATATTTTTTGTCTTTTGTGCATGTGGAGAGTAGTTGAGCGAGGCCAAATTCCTTAATCTTCCTTCCTTCCATTCCTTTCGACCTTGCCTTCGACCCATCTATATATCCATCCATCCATTCATTCATTCATTCATTCACGCAAGCTTTGTGCAAGGCACCTACTGATTCAGTGGCATCATTCATTGATTGATTCATTCACGCAAGCCTTGTGCAAGGCACCTACTGATTCAGTGGGTCTATAAATTGGTAGGAACAGTGATTGATTGATCTATTCAAGAAGAGGTCGGGGCAAAAGGCCGGTCGAAAAGGTTGGGACAACTTACGCCGATGGGAGAGACATCCGGATCCCGGCTCCCATTCTGCGATCAGCAGTCCTGCTAGAAGAAGATAACAAAGAGACCCCCCTCCATCTTCCCAGATCGCTGACGTTCCCCCTTAAACAGGATGTCCTCCATCCAACGGCTCTCGTCCCGCCAAAAGATCTCTCTTCCCCACTGAAGATGCACACGTGTTTGGTGTAATGACCAGATCTGCATACATATCTTGACCTCGGGCCCTTCCTGGAGCCGCAGATCATAGGCATAGGCAAAGCAGCATTGCGCGACGTCGACGACCGCTGGGCCGGGCTGTCTCTCACATCGTTAAACACATCTCTCGGGACCACCACATGTCCCACTGCCGCACCTGCTGTGACAGCGCCGCACACTGCCATTGCTGCCCGAGGTCTCTCCTGAAGCTTCACCAAGCCTATCTTCCGCTCACTTTGAACAGTGACAGCGTCGCTTTCACACTTCCAAACCTCCCTTCCCTCTTTCTCCCCTGCCCGCCCTCCCTTCCCTCTTCCTCCCCTTCCCGCCCGCCCTTCCCCCTTTCTCCTCCTGCCCGCCCTCCGCAGCCTCCCCGCTTCGCCCACACCACCTTCTGCCGGACAGACAAAGACAACCGGACGACACCCACTCTGCACCCCTCGAGCCCGACCGACACTCGTAGCCGTCGCCGCTGAAAAAAAATTGATAGACCGCAGAGCGCAGCAAGGGGACGGTGGCAAGACGGAGGCGGAGCAAAGCAGAGACGGTGCGGATGCGGTTGTGACGAGCTCGATGGGCAACAGCTTTGGCAGGCCGGGGACAGGGCAGCATCCGTGGCGGGCGTTTTTTTTTTTTGTCTTTTTGTTTTTGATTTTTTGTTTGGAGAGCCGCAAACAAACAAAACAAAAAAAAAACACCAGCAAACGACTCGTGGCTCAAGGCAGACCCTCAAAACAGGAGCTTCGGAAGATCATGGATAGAGAAGGGTGTACTTAGGATCAGGGATATTTGGGACAGTTTTGCAGAGAATTGGTTGTCAAGCGAGGAAGTGAAATCAAAGCTGGGACAGCTAAGGGATGTACCGGAAAAGCTAACAGCAGTAATTGAAGCTATTCCGATGGAATGGAAAACTTTACTATCTCCGGATTCTGTGGACCCGCCAGGCACCTGGTATACTCAACAAGAGGAGCAGGGGCTCAGCCGCTGGGAACTCAAACAGTTACAGGCAGAGGGCAAAAGGATATTCCAGAAGTGGAACCATCAGAATAAAAGAAGGCTGGAGGTAGCAGAGCCAGAGTCTCAACCAAGTTTGGGCAGGACTCTGTCTCAAGCCAGAGTGATCACGCCGGACCAGGAGGGAACAAGGGCATTGGCGTTGATTGCTAAGGTGGGCTTCAGGAGCCTAATCCCAATTAAGCACCCAGAAGTGGTGGCGAGGACAAGATGGTCGCAACTGTTGGATAGCGACCCGGCACAAATCAGCAAAGCCCTCAAGTCCTGTTGGGAACAGCTGAAAGAGATTCCATGCCAAAGACAAGCATCAATCTTGTGGCTGGTTTCGATGATGGTGACTCCCTCTGCGGTGTGGCTGGCGGAAAGGGGTATGAAGGTGGACTTGAAATGCAGAAGATGCGACTGGGCCTTTGAATCCATGATCCACCTGTGGTGGGATTGCCCAGCCTCACGCAGAATCCGGGTTTGGTGGATCAGATTCTGGGAGAGCTGTACCGAAGGAGCATTTGCCTGGACAAAGGAATGGTGCATGCTGGGCGGAATACATGAAGGACACACCAAGACAAAGGGATGGGGCTACATAGCGCAAACTACAAGGGCAGTGGGTTTTACAGTAATTTGGCAGGAGAGGAACGACAAAGTGTTCAAATCCAAAGATTGGCCCAGCCAGCAGATCAGAAGTATCTTCAAACAGCTCCTTCGAAGATCGATCTTGGCGGACTGGAGGAGAAGAGTTAGCAAGTCCAGTAACAGAGCGCCTGGGTTGAAGTGGTTTAAGGATACATGGTGTCAGAGCGAGAGGATAACGAAGATGGAAGGGGAGAGGCTAGTGTTAGGCCAATGGTTAAGTAGGGATTAGGAAGAGCGAGTGAGGAATCCTGGGCACTCGGATTGTGACAAGGTCGCAGGAGACAGGCAGAGGGAGGGAGAAAGAGGAGGGAGTGCTGAATTAGCTACACCGAGTTAGGTGGAATAGGAGTGAGGTTATCAGAAGCTAGGGATAAGTGGAACGAGGGCCGTTCTATTTCTTTTCTCAAATTTACTTTTTCCTTGGTTTGTGTAGCGTTTAAGGCCGTAATGGCGTGTTGTTCCCTTTTCTTCTTTTTTGCTCAGAGCAAGGCCAACAGGGCAAAGGTCTCAGGGACCGGGTTTGTTCCTAATCTATCTCCTGGCTCTAGAGCATAAAGCTAAGCTGACTGATGCTGTCAGATACTTTTCCAGATGGAATTGTGGGTCCCCGGCCCAAAACTTTGTTGAGCAATAAAGTGATTTATCTTTAAAAAAAAAATAAAAAAAAATCACCAGTACTAGCTACAACACCCACCAGAAAATCAGACACCCCCCAAAACAAAGGAAGAGGTCCTTCTGCAATGTCTGTTCGAAAATCAGCTCATTCAAGACGAGGAAGGGAGCCCCCTAGGAGCGGATTCATCCCCGGGCTCATTTGGCAAAGTTTGGATAAGAAGAGGAGTAGCTAGGGTGGTGGACCTCTGGTCGGAGTCGCTGGGCAGTTGGAAACCGTTTTCGGAAATCCATTTGGCCCTCCAAGGCCTATGGCACTCGGAAGAGCACCGGCAGAAGGTGCTCCAAGCAATTCCAGAGGGCTGGAAAGCGGTTGCTGGGACCAGAGGGAATCAACCCAGTAGGTACATGGTATGCCTTTCCATTGCTGGAGAGAAGGAGGGAGCTTTGGGAACTGCAAGGACTGACACACAGTGGATTTGGGGAGGTTCAGAGGAGGACAGTGTTGGAACAGTCAGCCGGCCTGATACCTGCAGAGGTGAAACAATCAGGCAGTGGTCTAACCCACCTCAAGTAAGAGTGATCCACAAGTTGGATCGGAGAGGGAGAAGAGTGCTCTCAACCTGGGTTGGCAAAGTACCGCTCCGGGAACTGTCAATTGATCCAACAGCTTGGGGATGGAGGGAAAAGGTAGCTGCAAGACCTGGGAGACAAGGACTAGACCTCTCGAATTTTACTGTGGGAGATTCCTACAGGCTGGCCGAAAGGAGAGGGAGATCCCCGGCGGGAGTAGCAATATCCAGATGGAGCGCAGTCCTGATGGAGAATCTGCAGGGGAGGGTGAAGGATTTTCTAAAGCTATGGAAGGTATTACTCGACCTGCCAGACCTCAAGCAAGCCAGCCTGTTATGGATGCTTTCTCTGTTGGTGACCCCTTCGACGGTCTGGCTCTGAAGCAGAGGCATGGAGAACCTTGAAGTGCTCATGTTGTACCTGGCCTTTTGAATCCACAAAGCATCTCTGGTGGGATTGCCCGGCATCAAGAAGATTTTGGAGATGGTGAGAGGCACACTGGAGGAAGATAGGGGGAGAAGGAATTGAATGGAATGAAAGATGGGCTCTACTGACTTTGTGGGGGAAGAACAGTCTGGGCACAAAGGTTGGGCTTATGTGGCCCATGTGGCCAGGGCAGAGATCTGCTCAAGTATATGGGCAGACAGGAACCGGTCTCGGTTTGAACACCGTTCCTTTTCGGATGTCGAGCTCAAAGTCAGTATTAAGAGAGGCCTGAAAAGAGCGATCCAGGCAGACTGGCGCAGGAAGGCAAAATGTGGGAAGGGCCCAAGGGCGAATCTTTGGTGGTTTCTGAGATCATGGACGAAGGGCAACCAGTTGGTGGGAGTCCATACTTCCAGGGGACTAGTGATCTCCAAGTGGTTGAACTCTAACTAGTTCGTATTAGCAGAGGGTAGGCAATGGGAGGGTAGAGGAGAATTAGGATTAGAGACCAGGGTATCCTGGTGAGTAAGGAGGAGGCTAGAGAGTGTCATAGACTCAACCAGATCACTCAGTTGGTAGGGATGCAGTGAACTAGGTAAGAGAGTGATAGGTAATAAGGAACCTAGGTTTCACCTGGACCGAAGCAGGTCAAGTCGTCGCGGTAGTCGGATTCTGGTTGAGAAGGTTCGGATGCTTCGAGAGAGAGAGATAGAGTGATGGAGAAATACTGTTGAAGAAGTCTGAGAGATTTAGAAGAGGAAGAGATATAAAGGATACGCCGAAGGGTAATGTGATTGATTGGAATATGGGTCATCAGTTTGGCTGGGACCGTAAGCTAAACTGGCTGATGCTGTCAAGATAACTCCGGGTTGAATTGTAAGGTCCCCGGCCTCCATTCTGTTAATAATGAAATGCTGAATTCTTAAAAAAAAAAAAAAAAAAAAAAAAAAAAACAGTACTTGGGCCATACATCGGTCGCGGGCCTTCCTCGTTAACACCTCGCAGCCTTAGGGGGTCGGCCAAGGGAAGGTCCGGTCGTTGCTGAGTGACCAGGCCCCGATTCATTCGGCATGACACAAAAGAAAAAGAACAAAGAAAAAAAAAAACAAAAATCAAATAGAAAAAAATGAAAAAAGAAAGAAAACCAAAGAAAAAAAACTAAATCATGCGGTAGGGAGGGAGGGAGGGAGGGAGAGAGAGAGAGAAGGGAGGGAGGGAGGGAGGGAGAGAGAGAGAAGGGAGGGAGGGAGGGAGGGAGAGAGAGAGAGAGAGTGAGAGAGAGAGAGAGAGAGAGAGAGAGAGAGAGAGAGAGAGAGAGCTTTGACCAATGGGAATGCATCTTCCCACAAAAGCGGAAAGATTCATTCCCGTTTTTGTTTTTCAAAACGGGAGAGAGAGAGAGAGA